CGATTATCATAATTATTTTCCTATGGCTTAATTATGCATTATATTTTGAAAAATTAATTTTGAACTTGATTGAATTTATATACAAACATGTCACTCCCGCAGTGATTTTCTCATTAGCACTCTGAAATTATTCTTTATGCTGTAATATTACAACGGGTTTTATATGAGGCGCAATAAAGTTTCTCTATGTTTACTTTAGTCAATTTCAGACAAAATATTTGTTATACCATGATTTTCCTCGTTCAGTGGGTTCAGGGTAAAAAACAACTCACATGTTCGGTATAAAGTAATGTAAATACATTTGAAGATCTTTGGGCTATATATATTCTGAGCTGTTTATCATTCACAAATTTTCGGGTTAAGAACCCCTTATCACCATATCAGCAAGGGCTTCCAGTCTGGAATCTATGCAATGAATCTTACTATTCTACATTGTTACGAGAATAGAATAGTGTGATATTCATCTAAATTATATTATCATAAATCAGAGTTGAATTGCCGTAATATTATTTAGTTCCGTATTGCTATAGTGATGTAAACGCTGATAATAGATGTTGGAGTGATTCCTCCCTCAATTTAGATATAAAAGCAGCTGAGTTCAATGCAGTTTAAGCAAAGTTTGAGTAACCGTCAAGCGATGAAGAGACTAATTTTCACCTTCATTTCCATGTGCACACTCAGTTGGGCGCTGCCATTGGTATCCCAGCAGGAAGTGTCCTTTGGAGATCCAACGAAATCGAGCCAGGACATCATAGACTTGAGCGCCTATGGCGCTGCCTTGCTTGGCAAGCCGGATCAGGAGCTAACAGGTGCTAGGGTAGCCAACTTGAGTGCTGACAGCGATGTTAATCCCGAGGAGCTGGGCAGCTACCTTGAGGGTGATATTCTAGTGCCACAACCGGCGATCACTATGCGAAATGGCATGGTATCACAGAGCTTACGGTGGCCCAATGGCGTAGTGCCCTATCGCATCATAGGTGATTTCGATGAACAAGAGTTGTCCATTATCAAATCTGCCATGGAGGACTATCACAGACGTACCTGCATTCGATTCGTGCCACATAGCGGCGAGGAGGACTACATTACCATTGACAGCGATTTCTCGGGCTGTTGGTCTGCTGTGGGGCGCATCGGCGGGCGGCAGAGGCTTAATCTACAGATACCTGGATGTCTTCGACGCTACGGCACTGTGCTCCACGAACTGATGCATGCACTTGGATTCCTGCACGAGCAAAGCCGCATGGAACGTGATGACTATGTGACGATTAATTACGAAAATATACGCCCTAAGGCGTGGAAAAACTTTAGAAAGGCGGACATTACTGAGGCATTCGGAGTGCCCTACGATTTCGACAGCCTTATGCACTACTCAGCCCGAGCCTTCTCATGGAATGGCCAGCCGACAATAACCATAAAGGTGAGTTGTCCTACTGATTATTAGAATAGACGTGAATATAAGTATATTATTTTTCAACTTACAGCAAGCGGAAAACAACATTCGACTGGGTCAGCGTGTGGCATTTTCTGATAAAGATTTAGATAAAATAAATAGGATGTATGCGTGCGATTCTCGGCTAACAACTCCGCCTGCTGATGTCTCAACTTCCACTCCCGAGCCAGAAAGTTCAACGGAAACATCAAGCAGCTCTAGTATAGACTCCAATAATTGGATCGACTTGTTCATCAGCAGTTGGGGCTTGGGAGGAAACCTCATAGAGATCCCAGAAGTATAAGACTGATGTGAGCCGAATGGCCTATAATGTGAGCTATGAACGAAAAGAAATGGGGCAGAACTGAGTATACATTATGATTGCTGAGCTCGAACTAGGAATACTTTTTATTTTAGATGTTTAAGTCCTATTAGTTTATTTTTAAGTCCTATTTACGCTTATTTCCATAAATAAACGCGTTTGTTTCCATTTCAATAATTTAATTGGCCATGACTTGGGTGTTTAAGGCGTGGAAAATTGGATAGTCATCCGTGCAATTGATAAAATAACGGACTAAACATTTCGTCGGGCAGCCAACATTCTGGAGCGCGGCAAGCGGCACTGGCTGATGCTGTGTAGGCGATACTGCATCTCTGGCTGAGTGATCTTCTCGTAGAGTTTCTGCTTGGCCTCCTTGATGGTGTGTATGGCCACACCATCTCCGCCATCGTCCATATTAAAGGCCTCGCCCTCGGCGCACTCTGGACATTGTTGGGTAAGCACAATGTCATTGAGATCGGTGGGCAGTTCACAGATCTTTTCAATCTGCTTGACCACATAGTCAATGTTGCCCTCGTCCTGGCGCTCGAACACATAAACACTGGCAACAATGTCCTGGACGCGCGTCTCTAGTAGCCGAAGAAAGCGTTCAACATTCACAAGATTCACATGGGTATGATCACCCAGTAGCTCGGACAAAGGCGACGTATCCACCGAGCACATATCACAAAGCATTTCAACACCCTGCAGCAGATTCTCGAGACGCGTATCGTTGTTTTCACGTGTCTTATGCAGCTCCAAGTTAGCGGCTTGCTTCTTGCGCACCTGCTGCTCCAAGGAGCTAATCAAATCGATCTGTCCCTGCAGCGTGGACGTATTCTCGCGTTTCAAATCGATAATGTCCTCGAAGAGGCGATTCACTGAATTGTTCAACAGCGTGATGTGATAGCTCATCTCGTTGGCATAGTTGAAGAAGGAGTAATAGAGACTCTCCTGCTGCTGGAACTTCTCGATCACCTCCTCCACATTGCTGGAGTTGGTGTAGTCGAGTATCTTCTTCAACACCGAATTGTACAGATTGATCTTCTTGTTGTGCTTGCGACGGAACTCGTCACGTCGCCTATACTCCTTGGGTGGCAGATCAGCCAAAATTCGCTCCCTGCCCTTGCATTCCACGAACGCTGAATTATCCGCATCGGCAGCCACCTTTCGCATGATGCTCTGCAGCTCAATGCGTCTCAACTCACGCTCTTTGCTCTCACGCTTGGTAATCTTGTCGATCTTTTCATATACATCAATACAGCCATCGAAGGTGTTTAGCGCATACTCAATGAGATCTATCAGATACTTCTTGTCGCTGTTCAGCTTCTGAACCATCTTAGTGTAGGAGTCATTGAAGAATGTTCGATGATTAAGAATACGAATGAGCTGTTCTCGCAGCTCAGCATTTGCCGCCGTGAAGCCACATTCTTGCCGGATGCCCACCTCCAAGGAGTTCTCCAAAATGGCCATCTTCTTGCGCACCTTGGCCACGTGTGCTTGGTGCTGTTGCTCCGGCACCGTCAGTCGATTGAGATTGTAAATCTGCTTGCTCACACGACTGATTTCGCGCTCCATGTTGGTTATGGACGTCTTCAGCTTGGTTATATCCGCGGCTAGATTCTCTTGGCACTCCACATGACAACGAATCTGGGCCAAGTAGCGCTTGTCCTTCTTCATGTGAGTCGCGCCAGCGGCCACCCAGATCTGAGCACGCAAATCATTCTTCTCCTCCTCCAGGCGATCAATGGTATTCTCGTAGCTGGCATCGATGATCGTCTCATTACGTGTCTTTAGCTTACTCGAAAGCAATTTCTTATATTCACGCTGTCGCTTGCCAAGCTCACGGTGCTTCAGCAGATATCCCTCGAGGAAAGCCGTCTTATTGAACGGCTCGTCCGGTTTGTCCATTTTGTCTTTCAAATACAGAAACTTTCTTTAATTTGAAATTTAACCAAAATCATAAATAATATTCTCAACCCCCTTAAAGTTTGTATGGAATTTCTATATTGTATATATATAAATGTTTTAGTAGCTCTGACGCTGTTAAAGACATTCGCTCGACTGGCATCAAATTTCGACTTCAAGTTACATACAAAACGAAAGCTACTGAATAATATCAAATTTGTCACGGCTGGGCTCAAAAATAAAATAAATATTCCCCTCAATAGGATAGTATTCGAATATGAGACACTCTGAACAGCGTCGTAGAAATAAATTTATTTATTATATATGATTAATGCTAATATAGATTTTAATCGATTTTATGATGGTATGATATCGATAAATTGTAATAAAACAGAGCTAGATTAACTCGACAGTTGACGCTGATCAATATAATGTGTTGGTATCTCTTTTCTAGATCTCGACATGCCATCTGAACTTTCAAGCTTTACACGCGCTATTCGCGCAATCTTCGTACTTAATAGTATATAATTAACAATTCTTTATTTATTATTGGCATACAAGTTGTATACATCGATCTTCATCTACTACAAGCTTATATTGTGAACAATGTCATATTTTGTTTACAGTAAATTTTTAATCTTCGATTTTTACATAAACAGGCATCAAGAGTAGAATAATGTTTCTGATTATTTTTGGTTGTTTAGCATGCTATCATTCATCATCAATTTTAAGTCTTCTATTACGTCCGATGCTCCGGTGTCAGACGCCGGCGAATATTTATACTTGTCGTGAAAAAAGGGTAGAAAGAGTTAAGCCATTTACTGTTGTGATATACCGGAGCTTTCCAAAGCGCGGAATATTTTGAATATTGAGTAAATATAGGCAGCAGTACGTATGTCATTCTGCAGCTTAAATTTAATTGCTGTCGCCTTAATACCAGCTCCCGATGACTCCATAACCGTTTGCAGTGCCGCATCCACAATGTCAGCCTCTTTGGCGCAGTCGCGTAGCTTCTGAAGACTATCAGTTGGCTCGACTTTTGGCTATGGAAAAATTCCGAATTCTATTAATGAGTCCCCAGAACATGATCAATACTTGGGATACTTACGATGTCAGGGCACTCACAAAACGATTCGTTGATCGAATTTAGAATTTCGTGAATAAGCTGCGAAGTTATCCTCAAGTTCATTTTTCCATAAGATACGTGATTAATATTCTTCAGGTACTCAAAGTAGGATACCGTTACACCGCCCGCATTACAATAAAAATCTGGAATGATCAACACCTTCTTCTCCAGTAGAATTTTCTCAGCAGCTGGAGTAGTGGGCCCATTAGCGCCCTCCAGAATTAGTTTTGCTTTGATATCCTTTGCGTTCTCGCTGGTTATGACCTTTTGTGTGGCACATGGCATCAGTATGTCGCAGTCCGCAGTTAAAATACTCTGTTTGGTCTCTTTAGCCTTTGGATACCCCTTTATAGTTTTCTTAGCCGATTTGAATTCCATTAAATCCTTGAAGTGAGCACATTGGGTAAATACGGTAAAGAGAAAGAGATTAATAAGAAATACTCACATTAATATCAATACCGTCATTATTAGTCAGTGAATAATCAAACTCCTGAATACCAATTACTTTGGCGCCTGCATCATGAACAAACTTCGCTGCAAACGAACCAACATTGCCGAAGCCCTGCACAATGATCTTCTTGTCTTCCCATCCGGTCTTAAGACCAATTAAATCCATCCACTGCTTATCCTGCAAGAACAAGTCGCCTGCCTTCCACACTCCCCGACCAGTTGCCGCAAATCTTCCATTGATGCCACCAATGTGCACGGGCTTTCCCGTAACTATTGCGGCCGCATTGATGTCCTTGTAGCCGAATGTCTTGGTGTACTGATCCACGATCCAGCTCATCTCGCGCGGACTAGTGTTGACATCCGGAGCAGGCACATCAATGCCAGGGCCAATCATATTGCGCTTCAACAGCTCCATGGTGTAGCGGCGAGTGATTGTCTGTAATTCCTTAACTGTGTACTTCTTGGGATCGATTCTAACGCCACCTTTGGAGCCACCGAAGGGCAGATTGACGCAGGCGCACTTGAATGTCATAATAGCCGCCAATGCCTTTACCTCATGCTCACTCACATCCATGGCAAAGCGAATTCCTGATTAACGGGCGGGTAAGAAAATCAACTAGTTGGGCGTGTTATCGCACAATACATACCGCCCTTCAGGGGCAAACGGTGGCGCACGTGGTGGGCCCGGTAGCCAGTTATGATCTCATAGCTGCCGTTGTTCTTGATAATGGGAAAGCTCACCTCAAGCGAGCTAGTTACGGTGCCTATGAGATTCAGAATGGCAGTCACTCGTGCCTGTTTTTCAGCCGGCTTGAAATGAGCATACTGATCCATTGACTTGACTAAATCGTCTTCCATGATTTGGGCAGCCCTGTGATAGTTGTACATAACTATATCTGATAGACGAGGGTTCTTGGACGTTTCCACTTTCTTGAGATGCTCGGGCATCTGGTGTTTCTGCCGAGTACTACGATGTCCTGGTGTAACAGAACGCATACTTAAAAATATATTATTAACACTCCGAATCATTTTGAAAATAAAAAAAGATCAAATAAAAATATTTGTTGTGAGCCGTTATATACATATCATACGTTTTTTGAAAAATGCGTATTTCAAAGATAACTATGTTTTATAAATCCTATAACAATATTAAAACACTGATGTCTGGACAGGAAAGTGATATCAGAATCTTATGCCATGGGCAAATAAATCCGTAGAATTTTGCTTTCAACGTTTATTACAAAAATTGCGAAATAATTATGAGAAACCTTTATAAATAATAAAAAATTATATTGAAAAAAAAAAAAAAAAAAACAACAACAAACGAATTATTGCTGTGATATACCAGAGCTCTCCAAAGCCCGAAATATTTTGAATATGGACCAGATATAGGCAGCAGTGCGTAGATCATTGCACAACTCAAACTGATTGGCCGTGGCCTTTACTCCAGTTCCCGATGCTTCCATAACAGTTTGTAGGGCCGCGTCTACAATATTTGCTTCCGTTGTGCAGTCACGAATCGCCTGCAGTGACTTGTTTGGCTGGACCAGGGGCTGTGATAGGGGCTTTTGAATGAACGTTCCTGATTAAGGTTTCGCGGCTGAACTACATACGATTTCCTCAATCTGGCAGTTTAGCGATTCATTGATGGAATTAATGACCTCATGGATGAGCTGGGATGATCTCTTCGACGTCATCTTGCCGTACGTCACATGGTTAATATTTTTCAGATATTCAAAATAAGACACTGTGACTCCGCCTGCATTACAATACAGATCTGGGACGATCAACACCTTTTTATCCAGTAAAATTTTCTCGCCAGCTGGCGTTGTTGGCCCATTGGCGCCTTCCAGAATCAATTTAGCTTTGATATCCTTTGCGTTCTCGCTGGTTATGACCTTTTGTGTGGCACATGGCATCAGTATGTCGCACTCCGCTGTCAGCAAATTTTCAGTGGATTCTTTGGCCTTAGGATAGCCCTTCAGCGTTTTCTTATCCGCTAAAAATTGCATGAGATCCTAATAGGGGTGCCAACTTTAACTAAAAATTAAAACTAAAAGGTCGGTAAACACTTCCGACTCACATTGATATCAATGCCATCATCGTTGGTCAGTGAAAAATTAAACTCCTGAATGCCAATTACTTTGGCGCCTGCCTCGTGGACAAACTTCGCTGCAAACGAGCCAACATTGCCGAAGCCCTGAACGATGACTTTTTTGTCTTCCCATCCGGTCTTGAGACCAATTAAATCCATCCATTTTTTATCTTGGAGAAATACATCGCCCGTTTTCCACACTCCCCGGCCAGTTGCCGCAAATCTTCCATTGATGCCACCAATGTGAACCGGTTTCCCAGTGACAATAGCCGTTGCATTGATGTCCTTGTGGCCAAAGGTCTTAATGTACTGATCCAGGATCCAGCTCATCTCACGCGGACTAGTGTTGACATCCGGAGCAGGCACATCAATGCCAGGGCCAATCATATTGCGCTTCAACAGCTCCATGGTGTAGCGGCGAGTGATTGTCTGTAATTCCCTAGCCGTGTATTTCTTGGGATCGATTCGAACACCTCCTTTGGAACCACCAAAGGGTAGATTAACGCAGGCACACTTGAATGTCATGATAGCCGCCAATGCCTTCACCTCGTGCTCATCCACATCCATGGCGAAGCGAATTCCTTAACAAAGTGGAGCTGAATGAATTAACTTAAGCGTCTGGAGCTCGGCACTTACCACCCTTTAGAGGCAGACGGTTACGAACGTGATGAGCTCGATAGCCCGTGACTATTTCGTAGGTACCATCTTTGCGTATGATGGGAAAGTTCACCTCCAATGTGGTGCACACGCTCCCTATCAAGTTCAGAATGGCAGAGACACGTGCCTGCTTTTCCTCGGGCTTGAAATCAAGATACTTGTCCATTTCTTTGACCAAACTCTTCTCCATGATCTGAGCTGACTTGTGATAATAGTAGGAAACCATATTTGAGAACTCGGGATCCTTGTCCGTTATCACCGATTTGAGATTCTCGGGCATCTGGTGCTCATGCCGCTGAGGCACTTTAAACAGTACGCGGTACAGCCCATTACGATAGATATTCAGATTCGGACAAAACATTTTCAAGCTTTTGCGCGAATTTCGGAATAATGAAAATTGTCAATAATCGAATATATATTTGTATTTTATAATGTTACTTGATGTTATATTATTTTTGGATTTTGTTTTTTTTATTGTATAAATTGCTCTACATAATACGTGGCTACAGGCTACGAGCTAGGCTTAAATATTTTATAGCTATACACAAAAGTAAACATATCTTGAATGGTCAATTCTTAACGATGGAAAACTCTAAGCAGCCAGTTATTGAACAAGAGTAACTAAGAGTATGCTATGTAGAGTTGCATTATTACTGGACATATGAGCCGATATATTTATATATATGGGTCACATGTGGCTATTTTCTTTTTACTTGTCTAACTGTGTTTGCCGTTTAACGTTTTTGGGTTCGCCCGGAAGCGCATAAGTTGAAAGTATATTAAGATACGGGGATCATTTTAGCATTTTGTATATGTATGTATAATGTATGTATATGTATATATATTTATATAACTTAGTTGTACCAGTAGCACAGGTTACACATAAATATGATAGATCTATTCATAGGCATTAATATTATAATTAATTATATAATTGTAGCTCTTTAATGATTATCTATGTACACGCACACAAAACACAAGGTTTGCTATATTGTTTAGAACTAGAAAAAAAGCGACCCCGTTCGCAAAATGAAAAGTAAAAATTGAAAAATGTAGCTTTTAATATCACTTTGGGGACATGCACTCGTTCTCTTATGGCCTCATTTACGATGATTGCAATTGGAAGCATTTGGAACTTCAATTGGACAACAATCGCATTGCACACAAAACAAAAAAGATTAATTGAAATATTTTCAAGAGTTCAACCCGGATGTTAGCTCCATTCAAATCGCGCTGTATATTTATATACATATGTATACATATATATTTATATCGAAACTGGTTTGCTTGATTCATTGATTTCAATGCTAGAGACTAAAGCTACTTCTACTTAAAGGCTAAGCTTAATGTTACCGTATTTTCAATTAATTTCAAATTAATTCAAAAGTCTAAGTTTTTACATAATAATTACAAAGTGATTACGACGCCCTAAACACACATACACTAATCTCGTAGCAAGATCGCAGGTAATGCTGCTGCTTAAATGTTAACATCACGCTTGGAAACAATAATTCTCAAAAGCTTCTTTTCCCGTTGAGTACTATAATTTGTGGCCTTTCAATCGCACTGCAGATCATATCCATGGCTCAGCCGCTCACTGAGCATTTCAAGCAGCCTCCGTGCTGCTCGCCTGCTAGTCCACGTCCTTTTTCTCAATCTTTAAGTCAAACTTGGCAACTAGCTCCTCCGGCGTGTGTCTGCAGATGGATGAAAATCAACGATTTTGTTAGCTTCTATTTTGATGGAGAAATATTCGCATCGAGTACTTACCCAACTAGATTTTGTAGATCGCAGACAAAGCGATAGACGTAGCGTTTGCCGGCCGTCTTGTGTATGATGTTCTTGTCGTAGTAGTAGCGCAGACCGCGGCTCAGTTTCTCGTAGTTCATTTTGGGCTTGTTTTTGCGTATGCCCCAGCGACGCGCCACCTAGCGGAAGGTAGATGTAAAATACATCGGAATTAGTAAAGACTCTCATATTGCAAATCATTTGCTGTACACCTACCTCATCGGGATCGGTCAGCTTGAACTCCCAGCCATCGCCTGTCCACGAGATAAAACTCTGGCATGTTTTATCGAGCAGAAGCTCCAACAGGAACTGCCACAGCTGTATGGGCCCGGAGCCCGTAAAGCACGGAACACCGCCCTGCGTTGTGTAGCCGCCCAGCAGCGTTTTATCCAGACCCAAGGTGGTCATATATGCCGCCGGATGCTGATGGGCGTGTGCGCCCCATTGGTCCAGGTTCGGCTGGGCGCCCATCGTTGGGAACTGTGCATCGTACGGCGTAAACTCTGACTGGAAGGGCTCATGGAACCGTGTCCGACCATACGCATTGTAGAAATCGGGACTGCTGTCCATGTAGCCGCTGCTGTTGGTGCTGCCGCTGCCATTGCCAGCGCTGGAGGCTTGGCTCTGATGTTCCTGCGCTGAAAGTGTGCTGTGATAGTCGCTATCATCGCCGCCAGCAGCCGAAGCGACTCCACCGCCACCTCCGCCACCACCGCCGCCCGGATTGCCACCACCACCGCCGCCGCCGCCATAGTGGCCAGCGGCTGCGGCCAGATGTGCGGGCAGACCATAGCTGCTGAGATCTGTTGGATCGTTCTGAGCATTCGATGCGTAGGCGGCGTTGCTGCCATTGCCAGACTGAGTGCCCGGCTCCTCTTTCAGCTGATGTTGGTAGATAGCCGCTGCCATGGCTGTCATGTAGTTAATGTTGTTGTTATTGTTATTATTGTTATTATTATTGTTGTTGTTGTTGTTATTGTTGTTGTTGCTGCCCGCATTAGCATTGTTGTTGCCACTGTTGTTGCTGCCGTTGCTGTTGTTGTTATCGTTCGAGCTCTGCTGCTGTTGCACACCAGGCGGCATCATGCTGTTGTTGTTGTTGTTATTGTTGTTGTTGCTGCTGCCATTGAGATGCTGTTGTGATTGCTGCGGTGACGGGCTGTTGTTGGTGCGTTCATGTGCATTGCTATTGTTATTGTAGCCTGTAAGATAAGAGAGAAATACGCAAAATTGCATTGATTAGTCGCAATTAGGAGATCGTGAGATTGCATATTTAAATATTTAAGTTTAAGAATATGGAACTCATACTATTACTATGAGAAATTCTTCACGCTTTGTATATATCTTTAAGAAAATTTTCGCTTGAAATTACATTGAGAGCATCAGCTTTAAGAATGATTACAATAGTATAGTAATTATTAGTTGAATTTTTATACAAAAAAACTGGAGGATAGTTAGTTCTGTAAAATCCCATATCAAGCCAACTATAAATTTTTGTTCATTTAGTTTCGAGCTCTAAGATACTAAAATTAAACTCACTTTGATTAAACTTACGTGAGATTGTGAAAAAATATAAAAAGTGACCCCAGTAAAAATGGAATATTGAATATATACTATTTCATGTACTCTGTCGTGATGTGTATCTGACAGATGCATCTTCAATTGTTGATATACACTTTCGAATGCATTGAGTACTGTATTTGAAATTCTGATTTGCTCTGAGGATATTTGAGCAACGAATGGGGCGTCTCTGTCACGAACAGAATGCGAGCGCAATCGCTTCGGAAGCCAATCAAAATTCGAAGCGCACACCAATACAAATGCCTCTCGGCCCAATAGATACAAAACACAGATACGAACGCATACATGCACAGTCTCACACAGACACACTCATACGCTCACAAGCGAGTGAGCGAGTTGAGCTACCCTCTCTCAATCTAATGTGGCTTGCGAGCGCACGCTACATTAATTGCAAATACGTCGAAATTTAACACGTTTCGACGAATGCGTATGTATGTGTGCTATACGAAAACCTGTTGCACACATACTCTCACACACACATACAGACAATCTGAGACATACACGCGCACCAGTTGCTGGCTCGCTCGCTCGCTCTGAGCAGTCGCATTGCTCGCACATTCGCGCTCGCTCGCTCGCTGGCTAAAGCTTTGTGCGCTTTCCCATTCGCTCGACGACGTGGTAATGCGCAGATACAGAGACACAAAACGCTGCCCGTTGGCTGAGGCAACGGGCGGCACTACAACAAAGAGTTAGGTGCCTCCCACGTCTATCCACACAGTGGCGCAGCATCTCCAGCCACTACAACAACTATCTACAGCTATGTACATCCATCTATCTGACTATCTATCCGAGCATCCATCTATCTATCTAATAGTTAGTCAAGCAAACACTTTTGTTGCTGGTCGCGTTGAGGGCATTTATCGCCAATTCAATCTCCGCCCCCGCCCCCTCTTTGGTCAACTTGTTGCGTATTTGTTGTTGCTGCGGTTGCTTGCGGGCGTCGCACAAGCAAACACTCGCAAACGAATTACAATTTAATTATGCGTTGAGGGTTGTGCCGCACATCTTTGAGCCAGAGCCAAAGCCACTTTTCACACTCCGACACCTCAATTGTAATTAAAATTGTGCGCCATTTGATGTCCGCAAATATTTGACAAGTCCCAGTCCTATTACCTGAGCTAAAGAAGTTCACATCCGAGTCCGTGTAGTAAGCATTGCCAGACGCATGATGCGATGTCGGCGCATAGTCGCCCACAAAGGGCGTCATATCATTAAAGTAGCCCAGCCCCAGTGAGGCCGCCGTGGAGCTGCTCAAGGCGCCCGCCAGGCTGCCAATGCCAATGCTGGCGCTGCCGCTGCCGCTCCCAGAGCTGGCAAAGCTGTGCGCGGAGGCGTTCGAGGATGCGCTGGAACTGGAGCCGGATGAGGACGTTGTATTGCTGCCCGTGCTGCCGCCGGACAAGCGATGTTGCTGCTGCTGCTGCTGCTGCTGCTGTTGCTGTTGCGCGGGTGAGACATAGTGCGTATGTTGCTGCTGTTGCTGATGATGCTGCGAGTGCTGTTGGTGCTGCTGCTGCTGATGATGCTGTTGCTGCTGTGGCTGATGCAGATGTTGTTGCTGCTGCTGTTGCTGCTGCTGCTGCTGCGCGGGCAAGAGATGTTGCTGATGTTGCTGCAAGTGCACCGTTTGCTGTGGCAAATGATAGCTCGAATAGTTCTCATAGCTCTGTAGCACCATATTTTTCGATGTTGCTGACGTTGTTGAATAGTTGTAGTTGGTTGCCGTTAGGCTGTTGTTGTTGATGTTGTTGTTGTTGCTATAATGATGCAAATTTCTGAATTGTAGCTGCTCTGCTGCTGTTGCCGCTGCTAATGCTCCTGCTGCTGTTGCTTTGTCGTTATCCGACGCGTTTGCTGCACTGATTATGGTGGCATTAACTAGGAACGCAGAGGGCGGCATTTCTTCGCGTTTTCCAATTGATCAATTGTCAAAAACTGAATGTGAAAAATGCACGTCATTGACTTTTCGAATGGTCCACGTAAAGATGCTGATGCTATTGTTGTTGTTGTTGCTGTTGCTGTTGCTGCTGTTGTTGTTATATTAAATACGTTCCATACAAAATCAAATCTGCGGGATGCACAAACTGTCAACTCAATTGAAATAGCACCACAAAGAGACAAAGACACGCGCACGCATACGAATTGTAAGTGGATTGCCTGGGTTTGGATTGTGGTGCAGCCGCTTTATGCTGGTGGTTCTTGCAGTTGTATTAAAATTGATTTCACTTTTGGTTAATATTTGAGTATTTTAATTTTTGCACTGCTCTTGCTGCTGCTGCTGCTGCTGGATGCGGGTTCTAATCAATTGAGTGGCTTCTAGAATTGGTTCTCATCAAAATAATATATCATGCGCTTAAGTATGCAGATAGATTCTGTGGCATGTGGGCGTTGTTAGCACTTGGGGTAGCTTTAGTTATGGTTTTGATTGTGGTTAGTTAAGTAGCGCCTTTTGTTTAGCCTTTGCTTTACAGATTGTGGATTTCAAATTTTTTAGTTTTAGTTTCTCACTTATCGCACTCTTGAAATTCTCTTACATTTGCACACTGGCTCAGATTTCTTACAAATCTTTTCTTAATTGTTATTATTTATCTTCGTTCGGTTTGTATTGTTGTTATTGTGTTTATTTCATGCGCGCTACGAATTCCGTCGCATTTTGAATTCAGATTAAAATTTAACACTTGCTGGCAATTCGCGCATTTAATGGCAAATAATTGAAGGCAATTCATGAACAAAAATCTCTCTCGCCGCTGCTCAGATGCTTTACATTGCATACACACACACACACACACATAAATATATATACACGCACCGACTTATATACAGAAGTAAGTTGATAAATTAATGCGCATATCGTACATATTTTATATCGCATATAGTTGTAAATATATTGCTCGTTTTAATTCATATTTATTATTCGATATTAATGATTGAGTTGAGTTTGCTTTTTTCTCTTTTATTTGAGTTGTGGTTCGTACAATGGCGCGTATGCGCGATTTCAGTTAGCACACACTGATCACTGATCGCTGATCAAATATACGAGCGAACGTTCGGTCGAGCGACGGCAGCTCTTCTACCTTCGACATCCGTTTAAGAACTGAAGTTGCGTTGAAGTTGTGCGTCGTGTTGTTGCCTGTGTCGGCACCATTGTGTCAGCGAGCGACGCTGTCTCTGTGTCTGTGTGCGCTCTCCTATCTCGCCTATCTGTGTGTGTGTGTGTGCGCGCATTCGTGTGTGTCTGCGTGTCTGTGTGGGAGCAACTCGTGTGCTCGCAACGACTTCGTGCGCTCTAGCCGAGCCACACGAGCCACACTCGCACTCACACACACACACAACCTCGCACACTTGCACACTTGCACTTGGCAATAATAATAATCAAGAGGAAGGCATACTTGCACAGCGCTTACTCACAGATACTCTCTGGCTCTGGGTTAAGTAAGAGTATGTAAAAATATCGAAAAAATAAAAACATATAGATATACACATACATATGTATGTGTGTGGGTGTGTGTGTATCGAAATTTATATCAATTTCTAAATGCGATTGGTCTCCACTTGTTGCGGCTGCTGCAGTCACATTCCGAATTTCGACAGTCGCTACTTAATTTGAACAGTACAGTTGCTATCAAATTAGCCAGCCGAGATCATTAACAACCCAACGCCAACACGCGGGAGCAACAAACTGAATATTTTGTGGACCACCAAAATGGCCAGCAATAGCCGAAGCAGCACCAGCAGCAGCAGCAGCAGCAGCAGAAGCATCAGCCCACAGCCCATAGCCCACTGGTCAGCAGCATATGAGTGAGTGTACTCGTATGCGTGTGTGTGTGTGTATGTGTGTGGGTAGTATCTCATCGGCGCACAAACGCCAACATTTTTCACTGATGGACCACAGAAAAAAGTATCTCATAGATACGCACACACACGCACATAATTAGACAAAGTTGGGATTGGCCATCACTGCCTTCTGCATGAGATCATAGTCCAGCCAGCGAGCCAACCAAACAGCCAACCGAGCAACCGAGCGATCGGCCAGCAACCCAGTTGCGCTGAAAAGCTGCTGTCGAGTCTTCAACAATACCAAATTAGTTGCCGTCTTTATGATTATTATTATTTTTCATTTTTATTTTTCTAATTTTTTTTTTTGTGTACAATGAAGGCGTACGTGTTTTTGTTGCTGCCATAATTTGTTGAAATGGGGGGAAAAAAAGCAAATCTTTAACATATTTTTTTGTGTTGCATAATTTGTTATAAGCAACCGAAAAAAAAAAAAAACACTAAAAATGGTGGCTTATGGAACGTGTTGAAGCGCAATTTGTGGCAACAGCCAATGACAAAATGAAGCGCAATTTACGTATAATGCGAAAAGACACGTTCAACGGCAAATTCAGAAAAATTCGCAAAAAAAAAAAAAAATTAAAAAAAAAATGTACAAAAAATAAAAAATTTCAAAATACATATACAACATATGTATATAAGTGTACATATATTTGCTCAATATAATTTTCACTTCTGTCGGCCATTAAAAAAAGAGCTTTGCCGATACATCTTATCGCGTTGTATCAGTTATCAGTTATTGATTTTGGTTGACTAATAAATGACATAAAAATAGAGCATGAAAAAAAAAATCTGCAATGGCCTCAAAGTTGTTAAGTTCAAGTAGTTCCAGGAAAAGTTGTTGCAAGTACATTCAATTTTTACCTTGTGCGTTAAAATACGAAAAAAGCGCTGATAAAGCATAAAACTTGCTACCCAAAAACATGTAGAAGAAGAAATAACATTATGCTGAGCACTGGAGAAATAATAATTTTATTAACAGCTGTTGGCCATTTGTGTGTTGGCTTTAATGAAATTTGACCACAAAAGGATCGCCAAATGGATATACACACAAATCATATTTTTTTATTTGTATTTTCTTCTTTATTTTTTGGCCACTTACATATTCTGGCAGCACACCCACCTAACAGAAGAAGAGGAACAACAACAAATAATCATGTAAATATATATATAAAATTTTTATACATACATATATATATATTTTTCGATATATTTGTTGTGGTAAGAACAATGGAGGCATCAGCGGAAATACAAAATGAAAAAAAAAAAAACAAAAACTGAAATGTTAAAAAACTGTGCGAGGCAATGACAGCTGTAGAGCTGCAAGAGCGAAAAGGAGAGATGTGTTGTTGTTTTTGCTGGTGCTGTTGATGCGCCTCGCTTACGGCCATTTCCGGTTGAAGCACGTGCGCACTAAAGAGGAGACACGGAGCCACCGTTGAAGCAACCACCGCTAAACTAACGCACCAATCACAAACGGAATCACTGACAACAACAGCAGCGATAGCAGCAACAACAATTCTGGTTCCTATCCTAACTACTTGCCCAAAACGCACACGTTCAAATCAAATTTGAATCGAAAATTTGTCAAAAACGCGCCGAGCCGAACATAATAATTATGTGCGTATCTGAAGAGGCAAGTAGAGAGTATACCAAATGAATACCAAGTGTGGAAAGGCTGCTTGGTTGTCGGCTCGGTTCACCGGTTGGTTGGTGTGTGCCAAAAGGATTGAGGCGTGGCCCAGGAGCAGGCGGCAAATGTTGTTGAATTTCAATTAAAACGAAAACTAGTTTCCTTGCGCACAATAGACCATTATCCTGGTGGCACAAAAAGGGATTACAATTTAATGCAATAACGCGTCGCCCGAAGAAAAGATGAACAACTGAACGAGGCTCCTGACACTGGCACTGGCACTGGCACTGAGGGGAGTTGCAGGAAGCGCCTACCGAATAGCCAAAGGGGCTGTAGAACACAAGGATTCGCTGCAGCAGCAGCAGTAGCAGCTGCTGAGGGCGGAGACAACGAGCTCAGATGCCTTAAAGGAGCAGGGGCAGCAGCAGCAGCAGCAGCAGCAGGAGGAGGATCTGAAGCTGGAGCAGGGCACTCGCTGACACTTGAGCTGAGTGAATAAGGTATGAATTGATATCAAATTAAAGCTGGATCTATATACCTGAGCACACGTGTGCAATTGCAGAGAGGCACAATCAAGGCCCGGCTCTGGGTCTGCTTTGCTTTTGTACTTGAGTAAGCACTTCCGCTGCCTGCCACACGTGTCTCCTTCTCATTCTCTGTCTCTCTCGCTCTCGCACTACTGACTCCTCGGCTGATGCGGCTTGTGGCACTAATGTAAATCGGATGTCAATGCAGCGTGATGTGTATATAAATTATAAGAGAACGATGGAAAGATAGACAGAGTGATCGAGAAAGAGCGAGAGAGTGAGAGAGAGAGAGAGAGAGAGAGAGAACAGCTTGTGTGGAGAATCCACTTCAATGCAGAACCTGTTAGAAGCCAAGCTAAATAAATAAATAAATAAACTGTTAGTCTGCAAAACGGAAGGAAATCATAAACACAGCGTAGTAGTTGTTGGTTGTTAGTTGTTGTTGTTGTTGTTGTTGATGTTTTGACACGCAAACTATCATAATTACAGCTGCACTTGGACAGCGACCAACCCAACGCCCCACACACGCTCGCATACTCGCACACTCCCATACACACACACACACACACACCCATACACACACACACACACACACACCCATACACACACACACCTGTTGCTGCTTCCGTGCAGCGGTGGCAAAAGAAAATATCAATTTTCTACGTAAACGTGAAGCTGGCCAAGATGCGTCCGCAATTTAACAACATATATAGAGCAGCATCCCATGCGATACGAGTACGTAGACTATTGGAGATTGTGTACCTGCATTTTGACAACAAAGTAAACAGATGCAGCTCTAAAGATATGCTTTGATTGTTAGACTTGTAAACAACAAACACACACACATACAATACACAAACAAGAGAAGCTGCAGCAGGAGCATGAGAATGAGGATGGTCACTGGAATGGGAATGGGAATTGGGAATGGGAATGGAAATGGGTCTGCGTATGCCTATGAGAGGCTGCCTTGTGTGTTGCATTATCTTCGCAGCTCCTTGGCGCGCATGTAGAGCGGAAATGAAACCAGATACTTTGATAGAGCGCTGCCAAGGAGTCGCTCCACAGCAGCACCAGCAGCAGCAGCAGCATCATTGATCTTCAGCTCTGATGAGGCAAAATGTAATGATCTGGCCATAAATGAGGCTCGGTTATAAATATTATTGATCTTGGTACTTGCTCGTACTTGAGCTGCTTGATTAAAAATGCTGCTGCAAATTGTTGATCTTGGGCTCAAATGCCAACTACTAAAGGAAGCATTGCTCTTGACCAGAAAAGCTGACGTCGCGTCGTCTACGAGCTGGGCATGTGTGGCATTCCAAGCGACTTCCTTAGAATTCCAGTACAGCCAAGATCACAAGCTTTGACTAAAAGCCAGTTATAAAAAACATTAATTACTGTAATTTCAGCTTTATCCTATATTTATATAAACAAGCAAAGTCAGCTAATTGTGGGAAGCCAGCCACGTATCAATACTAACTGATCTGCATTCAATTGCTTTTGCATAGGGAGTTGTGTAGAATATATTTCGTTTGCTAAGAAATCTCACTCAAATTACATAGAGAATATATGAAATTCAGCAACAGGAAGCGGCCGTCAATCAAACAATCAATCAGTCTTCAATCAGAGCTAGCACGAAAGTTATGGATCTGCCTTGGGTCGGCTTGACTGGGCTTGACTTGATCTGCAGCCGTCGGACCTTCAACTGTGGACAGTTGGTAAGTCCTGAAAATTGAGTGACTCGCTAAATGGCTCATTTAATACCGTTTCTCACTGAGCACAGAAGGTGGCATGCGGTCAGCAGCAACAACGCCAACAACAGCAACAACATCAACAATAACTGCAATGTAAAGCATAAACGAATGAACCTGAACCTGAACCCTGCAAGAACTCAACTCCAACGGCTGGCTGAACGTCAAATTGTGCACCTGTCCAACTATCACCATGACTACGAAACAACAGCAACAACATTAGCAGCAACAGCAGCAGCAGCAGCAGCAGCAGCAACAAAATTCGGACAACATATGTGCCCTGCGGCGAGTAAGAGAGTGCGAGAAAGACAGCGACCCCAGGCTGAGTGAGGCCTGGACAACTGTTGTGTGTGCCTGAGTTTGCGCATTTTTTTTCCAACGTAATTCGTAGCCAGATTGTGTGCCACACACACATACACACACATACACACACTTACATATGCATACAGAGAGAGACGCACGCAATCACCCACACATTTCCGAGTTCTGGTTCCGAGTTGTGAACGCTGTGAGAAAACTGTGCATTGCCTGGACGAAACAGGCTCATACACACACACACGCAAGATGCAGCCAGGCGATATGGGAATAGAGGATATTAGAATGTCAGAGCACAGGCGAAGGCTCGCCTCGGTCTGGTGCAGCTACCTGCCAGGCCACTTTGGCGCTGGCATTTTCGGCTTGCCTAATTTACTTGCGCCGACGCATTGTCCTGGACTGCAGCGAAATCAGATGTTTGCCGTCTCTTTTCAGCTGCTGTCGGCTGCACTTGTGGCACTCATTCATGAAACTGAAATCTCTACCACTTGCTTGAGCCAAACAAACAAAAGGCACTGAACTGAATGGTGAATGGTGAATGGTGTTTAGGGGCCCCTCGGGGCCTTCAAGGTATCGATACGGAACTAAAGGAAGTAAATTACCGGATGTTGTATTCTCATTTGCTTGTTGTTCTTTGTGATTCACCGAGATATCCTGCGGCTTTTGTGCACTGCGGCCCACAACAACCTTGCTCATTTGTCATGCCGTTCACTTGGTTCTCTCTTGTTCTTGACGCTATTCGCATGAAATGACCAATAATAAACCTTGCCCGTCGGTTCCTCTTCTCCATCAGTTTTTTTCTCTCACTTTTTTTTTGGCAAGCCATCAAGACACACACATCGACAACATAGATATATATTTATATATATTTGGCTGCTCATTAATTGCACATATGCAATTGCTTTTTAATAGCCCGCCTCGGACATGCTTTGCGCAATGTTTTCCCACGGCTGCTGAGGGTAGCATAAGTTCCATGTTCTTTTTTTTTTTCATAAACTAAAATGCCATGTTTGATAAATTACACGACAAATGTACAACCCACGACTCGCGTTCCAGCTCATTGCGCCTAAATGTTTCGTCCTGCCAAAGGATAACATTGTGGCGTGGGAGACACAAGTTGCGAGTGGTTAAAAATTGCATCAAAATAAATATATACATTTTGACAAAATATGAATGCTGACAATAGATAATAAGTTTGTTGAAGACCCATAAACTTATAGGGCTGAGGAGAGAAAAGGGAGAGAGAGAGAGTGAGAGAGATGTTACTTTTCAAGCTTCACTAATGAGGAGGTGTGCTATGTTTTTAGAAACCTAAGCTGTATATTCACAAATAATATACCTTGATTCTGGTATTCCAGAAAAACTATTCACCAAGAGAAGACTTAGAAAACCCACTTCAATAACCAAAGCTAGACTTCTGAAACTTGGATTTCTCTGGCTTCTCTTTTACACTCAAATGAAATCATTTCAATTACGTCTACGATAAATTTCAATAGGCGTACACTTGGGCTGCAGGACCCCATTGCTCTGCCATTCCCAACTGCTTCCACCCTGTTGCCTTATCTATGCAAATGAGCTGGATAGTCTGGGCCGTATGCGTGCGCTCTAGAGTCTGGGCAAACAGGAGAAAAGTGGCGAGTATGGTAAACAACAACAAGCGCTGCAAATGAAACAATACGAAAACAACATCAACAACATTAACAGCAATGGCAACAACAAATCAGCTGCGCAAGCGCACAGATCAAAAGGTAAAATGCCGACAGAAAAAAAAAAAACACACACACACACACAAAATGAGCAGAGACGGGATGGGCTCTAGCACTTCTCTGGGCTGAAATTGCAAAAGCCCAGACAAATGAATAACAGAAACAAAAAATGAGACAAAAAATTAAAAGCTAAAACAAGCTGAAAATTCAAATTTATTTACACTTTGACGCATTTAAGACAAAGAGAGCGAGAAAAAATAAGACGAGCTAAATAAAAAAATACAAATAAAAATAAAACAAAAACAAATAAATGAAACGAAGCCAGGCCAACAACAGCAACAACAATACGCATAACGATGTGAAAATTAAATGTAAAAGCCAGAGACAGCGGCAGCAAAGAAAACGAAAATAAAGTCAGAAGAGAAATACAAATGAAAATAAAAATAAAAATACAAAATAGGCAACTAGCGGGGCGGCAAACTGATAAAAATCAAGAGACCAACTTTTGCACTGAATTTACGAGCCCGCAGCCCAAATTGCATTAGCTTTCGAGAATGAGAATTTTCCCACGTTGTCCAGAGAGACCCAGCCGCGAACCCGCTCTAGTCGCTCAGGTGCTGGTTGAATTTGTCCAGCAACAAATTAAAACATATATCAACTTTTTTTCTTCTAAAAATTCCAGCTCAACAAATTGTAGCAGGAGCAGGACACAGTGGCCCAGGACCTATCGGTGGTTGTTTTCTGTTTTTACTGATAGCCATCAAGTGTGTTTGTGTGTGTGTGTGACCCACCCCGAGGGCATGTTGCACTTGCTGCAGCCACTGCTGGAATTCAGCTGGAGGGGCGCACCCTCACCCTCTCACCCTCATGAACTTCAGCTCTCGCGCTCGGCGTCTGTGGCCCTCATTGCAGTTTGGTTTCCCCTCGTTTATTTGTTGCATTTCCACATAATTTTGTTATTTGTCTGTCGAGTGACAAGTGTTGGCATCAAATGTTGTCAGTGCCTTTGGTTTTGCTTTCAGTTCCCAAGGGTGTTGGATCAATCGAGTGCTACTATGCACAATTAGCTAGGGGTTAGTTTACTGTTTACTGCACCAAGGTCAACCGTCCACCTGTATTTGGAAACTTTATTCAATTGCACTTTAAAGCTGTGTAAGCTTGAACTAAGCAACATGCGTGTGATATTTAAGATACAAAAGTATCTTAATTAAAGAAAAGTATTTTTGAGATACACCCATTTGTGGAAAAATTAATATGCAAACGTATATCTTTAAGACACAATAATATCTGTAAGTTGCAAATGTATCCTTGAGATACAATTTTATCTCGTACATCAAAAACCTCTTTAAGTAGCAAACATAAAAGATGCAAATATATCTTTAAGAAATGCAATCATTTTACTTTATAAAGCAACCCAGCTTTATTTATAAGAAATATACAAAAGTATCTTACAGATACAAAACTATTTCAAGCCTGTAAGCGCATCTGAAAGAAATTCAGTTTATACTGCATTTATTGTAAAAATAAACTATTGAATCAAAGCATTTTCCATTCAAGTCTAGCGAATAATGCGATTCTATGGAAAACGGCGAAAAATGAAAAATTCACACAATTCAATTAGCTGGCGGCCACGAAATTGCGTTAATGAAAATTGCAAATAAACAACAACAACAACAAATGCATTGAAAATGGGGAAAAAGCCAAAAAGCCTGTTGAAAACTGTAACAGCGGAAATATGCGAGGAAATTGCAAAGACGCTGACTGAATGATGGGCGCCAGCTCTCAGACGATGGGCGGCCCAACAATCCGGGCGTCGATATTTGGGGGAGTTGGCCCGGAAATTGTGGCTGGCAGAGTCAGGTTATAGCCAAAGCCATCACTGAAACATGCTCAAGAATCACTGTATGTATAAATGTCATAGACAAAGCCGCACGAAGGCGCTTACAAAATGATTTTCGTATTGCTCGAGTGGCAAAACCTAGTTTTTGCCTTCAAGCACTTAATTTGTTATAATTGAAGCTGTTTTCAACATATTTATTAATTTGTGTGCTTCAGACTTGAAATTCGCATTAATAATATAATTAATGAAACACACAAACACACACACAC